GAAAGAAGAGGAATAAGATCGAACAAGGTAGAAAATTTGCACGTAATGTAGAGCACTGAAAAGAGCTGTTTAAATTTGTTGTAGGTTTAGATAAAGACTGACTGTGGAAGTGAACCAGATATGCTAAAAGAACTTACTATGTAGGTACGAGTACGAGGTGTTTATTTGGATTAGGACTCTACATTTTCGAAGCTCTAAAATGAACTCGAGTTTCCTTTCTTTCATACAACGTGTAAACGCATAACTTCTATTACGTCTTTTTTTTCTTCATTTTAGTGAATTTTAGCCATTGGCTAGTTCTTCACTTTGCAGGAAAAAATATAGGCCTGCCTTGGGAAAAAAACACAGTTGGAATTTACAGAATTTTGGTTGGACGAATCGTGGCGTTGGCCTTTGGGATCGGGATCACCAAACTTACTCGCCAAGCGGCCGGAAAGTCACTAGTACGATACACCTCGTTGTAAATGTCCAATAATTTGTCCTTTCCGTCGATAGGAAGATTTTTTAAAAGGGGATAAACTATTTCGTCTAGGCCGGCCGAGTTGCCGGTGCTGTATCGCAATACAAACTGCAGCTCCTCGAAGGAAAAGTTTTGGTTAATTGGAGAGTTGATGCTGTCTTGTGGAATTTTGAAATTGACGATATCGGCAGTAGATGGTTTTGTTTTGCGGAGAAAGGTGGGCTCATATTGGTTGATAGCGGAAAGCTTGGCAAAATAGGTGCCGAGCTCTTCAGCTACGGCATCAGGGTCGGTGATGTTTGTTCCGCCAATCTTGATTGAGAGCGGTATGGTGCGCCTTTTCCCGCTAAGGGAATTAACTTTTCCCCATAGGTCCGTGGACGACTGGGAAGCATTTATGCTCTCCAGGAAGTCGGTCCAACTATTTCGTTTGGCATCCCGGATTGTCTGCCTGCATTGGTTGTGCCGTTCTTTATATGTTTGTAGGGCTAATTTATTTTTTGGGTGGTTGGCTGGGAGGCGCTTGGCACACCGAAATGCCTTTCGTCTAGCTTTTACTGCCGCTTTTGTCTCTTCAGACCACCAGCGAAGAGCTTTTCGCTCGGGAGTTGGGCCAGTCCGGGGAATGGCTAGTCGTGCCACATCTAGAATTATGCTCGTGAATTCTGGAAAATCGGTAGGATTCTTTTGCTCTAATAGAATATTGACATAAATCTCATAGGCCACCCAGTCTGCCTACTACGGGTAGGTCGGTATCCAGGTCGACGAAGCGGGAAGCGATGCTTCTTAGATCGCCGATAGCGGTAGATTGCCGAATGTTATTGCCCCGTTTAATTGTCCACTGGTATTTACTCCGGACGGTTCGATCCATTTGTTCAGTGGTTACCCTTTTTAACTCCTGGAGAGCAATAATCCATGGAGGATCATTTTGGGTCAGCATTTCCAGGTCACCGAGATTGTTGAAAAAGCTGTTCACATTCCATTGGGGGAACGGAACTGGCTTAGGTAAAGTCGGAGCGGAGTTAGTGGTTGCCGGATTCGAGAAAGGGGCCCGGATGGTTTCCATATTCATTAGATAGTGAGGATTGACTTACGTTGATAGCGATGCTCGAATAAGCCGTACCAACCACCTCGGGCAGGGGTGACTCAACAGCGGAGATAGTAGGGTGGGGTCTTGTAGATTCCACAGAAGTAAAGGGGGAGCTAATTTCTTCCCTTGGTTGCTGGAGGTGATCTTCTGGAGTGCTGGGTCCCGAATGAGACAGAGCCCCATCAGGAGAAGGAGGCGGCGTGCCTCCCGCACAAGGCAGGGGTGTCCCAACTGGCGAGAAATAATCATTTCCGGTTGGAAAGTTTGTGTTTGTAAACTCGATTTGGTGCGGTGCTATGCTTGAGGAGGTCTTGAATCTCTCGTTGTCTTTCGGGGAATCGGAATGGTTACCCTTGTCCGTCCCAATATTTTCAGCTGGCTTGAATCCTGCATGATCCAGTAGGGGAATGGGTAGGTATACCTTTTTCCGTCCCTCTTCGCGACCTCCCCTAGCGGCGGAGTACACCAAAAGTTCCGGTGTGGGAAGGAATTCCGGTCGAATGAGGCTCCGGCTATCGCAGGGTTCTTCGTACCTTTCTCAGTATCTGTCTTCGTCATCGGGTCGCGGGGATTGTCCGCCAGCTCCGGTTGAGCCATGACTTCCGCGCTGTCGGTGCCCCACGTACCCAAGGCACAGTCATTTCTATTACGCCGCTAGACTATTAGCACGAAACGAAAATGAAAAATAAGCACTATTAGAACGAAAGGCTATGGATTTTCTCGTCGTTGCTTTGCTTTCGATGAGAGTAACGTCGATTTTTAAGTTGAAACGAAATCTTTTCAACCAACTCTGTCACTTGTTCCGTCAATTTGTTTAATATGCGTTATGTCCCATTTTTGTTACATTTTGTAGATAAATTAAATGGACGATAAATTAAACATAATAGTAGTAATATTCAAGTGTTTTCACGTGAGAAATGCTTTAAATATATATTCGCATTTTCCATCATATACGTCATAAAACCTCGGTTGATGTGTTTCATGGAACACGAAACTATCAAATCGAGCGCTCTTTCACTCGTCCGCTTCACCGAAGTTTGACAGAAAGACCAATGAAGCGACGGGAGAAAGAGAGACGAATGATTGAAAATTTGATTGTAGACGCCAATTGAGGTGCTAGAATGCTGCGAAGCTGCTCGATTTCAACAGAAAAAGAAAGCTAGCCGTTTCTTTGTCGCATCAATTTTGTCGATTGAAGGATGTGAAAAAGGAATTCCCACATCGATTAAGTTTCTCAATCGCAAAGATTTTACGAATTGTGAAGAGATTATATTCCTTCACGGGTATAAAAGCATGTGTTTCTTATGCAAGATGGAGGGGTACCGGATGATTTCTTGTCGGAAATGACGAACAGAAACAAATGGCATGAACATCAAATGTAAGAGCGGATTTCGTACATTCTTTGTATATGTTTCTTACAAAACAATTCTATCTATAATTAAAATATTAGTATTAAACCTTCATGAGATTATTTTCTAGTCGCAATCCATTTGGGAAAACAAACTCGAAAATTTAGATAACATAAAAGTTATAGAACTCAGGAAGATTTTCCTTAATTTTCGATGTTACTCGGCTCAATAATGTTTTTTTTAAAGCCATTTGAGTATTACTAAATAGATGAATTAAAAAAAAGAAGAAGGGTTGAGACAATGTGATCCCCAGTTGGTGTGTACCTACATCGTCGAGTTTTTTCCCCTCGTTTGTTTAGCTTGGATTTTGTTCGGCAACACATAGGGTCCAATAAGTAGCCATCAATAGAGCTTGTAATCATATTTCAACAAATAATCGATCTGCAGACAAAATTCGTCTGTCAACAAGCAAACTGAACATTAGTTTATTATTTGGATTACAATTGGATACGATAAGCAATTAGGATCAGAGGTGGCAACAGTACATTTTTTGAAAAACCATCGTCCAGAGCGAAACAAAACAGCCAGCACACGGGTGGCCGTTTATAACTACATTCCAAGCGAACAGCGGAGATAGAGAATAAATAAAATCTCGCAGCCTGATTTTTCCAAACAGTTTATTGTAATGAAATTTTAGCTGCAGGCTTGCGTGTGACAGTAAATTACCAACTCCCTTATTTACGCATAATTTTAACATCAATGCTTATGAGTGGTCAGTCTTCATTCTTATCTTTTAATTCCATGCAATAAACATCAAATAAATGCAGTAATTAGCCAGAAATTAGCAAAATTCTACACGACATAAATTTATGTCGCGCGCGCCGCCGGTCTTGTCTGCTTCTTTGTGCGAAAATGTTCTGTCGCTGGCAGAAAACAGTTTAGAAATGTCATGACATTTTTGCCGCTTGCCAGTTTGTTTTTGTGTGTCGTCACAATGGTTATCGCAAAAAGTATCAAATGTTTAGGAAAAAATGTTAAACTCCAGGACTCGTGCCACCACTGATTAGGATACTTACCTTTGTCATATAAGCAATTATCCAACAAAAATGTACTATCGACCCATGGTCCCCATCTCAGGGCGATTAATGGCTGATTAATGAGATTGCTGATTGCTAAGCTGTTTTTAAATTACTCTGGGTTGGTATTGCACTCAACATAATTATCTTCATTTGAGTAGTAATTTCATATTGCAACCTTCACAAAAAGCGTACTAGAAAAACTAAACAAACATTATTTTTCATAGTCAAGCAAGGAAACACACTAATGCATTTGAAACCATGCATCGTCGATTTGGCCTAACTGGTAGCTCGCCCATGCATACTAAACAAAAATACTTCTAAATAATTGACATTGCTGATGACATAGTCATAATATTACGAGGAAAATTTGATAATGTCATTTCTAATAGAATGCAAACTGCTTTAAATTATGTTTCGTCGTGGTGCACTAAAGAAGGGTTGAATATAAACCCTTCTAAGACCACTATCGAACCGTTCACACGGAAAAGGAAATTTTCTATAAATAACTTAAAATTGAAAGAAACTTCTTTAGAACTTTCACGAACAGTCAAGTATCTGGGAGTCATTCTTGACAGTAAACTAACTGGAATTCACATATAGAGCTAACAACCTGTAATAAATGTTCTTTGGATAAGTAAGAAAACTTTTGGTAGGAAATAGGGCCCAAAACCGAAAATAATCCACTGGATTTATTTGACGATTGTAAGACCCAGAATATCCTACGCATCATTGGTTTGGTGGCCGAAAACTAACGAAAAATCGGCTCAGAGGAAGCTGGGAAGCTGCCGAGTATGGCACTAGATGCTCTACTTTATCTACTTCCGTTGCATCAATTTATCCAATTAGAAGCTGAAAAGAGCGCTTTAAGGGTTCAACCTTTGTTCGTTGAAGGTGATCTTACAGGACACCTCAGTATTTAAAAAATGTTTGCTATTGATTCTCTTGTATTCAAAAAATTGATGTCATCGAAAAAGGAAGAAAATCGCCGGAGAATTTTGCGCGCCGTCAATGTGACTGCGACCATGAGATGGATCGGAAGACAACTGGGAGTCACCCATACAACTGTGTCTCGGGTGGTAAAATCGTTTAAGGAGTCCCAGACGACCGTGCGGCGGGTTGGAAGTGGAAGAAAATCGAAGACAGCTGACCCTGTGAACGCCCGGAAGGTTTTGGATTATTTCAAGCGTAATCCGAACCTTTCGATTCGCCACGCGGCTCTGAAGGCAAAGTGTTCCGCCTGGTTCGTTCAACAAACCATGAAACGAGCTGAGCTTCGTGTAGTCAAGGTCCGGAAGGCACCGAACCGGCGTGATCAACAAAACACGGTGGCCAAATCCCGCGCAAGGAAGCTGTATCGAGAGTGCTTAACGAAACCGATGTGTGTGGTTATGGATGACGAATCCTACATCTAAGCAGACGCAAAGCAGATACCGGGGCTGGAGATCTACATCACAGTTTGATGTTCCGGAAGACATAAGGAAGAATAAAGTGGACAAATTCGGAGGCGTGACATTATTTTGGCCGGACTAGGCATCATGCCATTACGCGCGATCGACGTTGGATTGGTACAGAGACAATAACGTTGTTTTTGTACCAAAAACCGCCAACCCCCCAAATTCTTCAGAGATTCGTCCGGTGGAAAGATTTTGGGCCATAATGAAGGCCAAAGTTCGAAAATCGTCCAAGGTGTTTTAGAACGAGCTGGAGTTGAAGAAAGAATGGGTGAAAGTGACCAAAAAGGTCGGCTCCACCATTTTACAAAATGTAATGAGGGGTATTAAGGGAAAGGTGCGGGCTTTCAGCGATGGAAAGGAAATTGAATAAAGTAATTATGCCGAAACATAATCCATATGTATTAGCTCATTCCCTAAAAGTTTCAAGGAAATCCGACTTAAAATAAATTTTTGGCGAACACTTTTGTCTGGTGCATTTTTTTTTCGAGTACAGGCCTTAATAGTCAAGAAATAATAAGTTAGTGTAGAAACCGGTTTGCTCGACATACGATGAACACTTCAGTATCTGAAGGGATCTCCTAAGAGGAGTAAGTAGGTGTATAATAAGTCACGCCATGAGTGGTAAGCGTGATTGCCTCTCTTCTCAAAAGGCCTGAGTTCAATCCCAGTCGGCACCGCCGGAATTTTCTGAGGCATAAAATCTCTGATCACGTCTTCCTTCGGAAAAGAATCAAAGCCGTTGGTCCCCGGTTCATTAGTTGTTGAACAGAAGCTGATTATTGGTTGATTCAGGGTGTACAAAGCTGATTAACAGCAGGCTGAATATATAGTTGATTAGTAGTGCGTGAAGCTAATTGTGTCCTCATAATTAAACCTCAATAAGTTAGCTGATCTAAGTATTGAACAAGCCATATTTTAGCTTAACACTACTTCCAGCAATGCACTACAAATATTTTGATAGCCGAATAGGTTAAATGTAGTCAGTGTCACTTGTTGCATTTCCGGCATTTTAGTTCTTCTAAATTCACTGCCTACCTTTCTAATTCCAAGATGCGGCAGCAGTAGAGGCAAGGTAGAGGAGCTTTTTAGGAATATCTCCAGATAGAAGTGGGCTGCGACGACGTCGGAAGCATTAACATTTGTATGTCTGTGTTTTGACTGCTATATTGCACTGCATTTTCAGACAGAATTCCAAAAATATAACTCAATTATGGCACTTAAACAGCTTCCACATGACGATCGAAATAAATCGCCCATTGTGTTAACTACATTTGAAAATGAGAGGAATGTTTTACTGTCACCAGTTGTTGTTTACATTGCTGTATAATACTCTTCCGGTTGCTGTTATTCAACTTAAATTTGACGTGTTTCAAGTTAATGATCATACCTTTTGCCACAAACATGCTTACGTGGTCCAGTAGGTATGATTGATGCCTGTGAATCAGCGACTATCGGTTCGAATCCCGAAATGCAAAGGTAATTTTTAGACTTATAATAAAAATATAAATATGTAAATCCAATTAGTTAGTCAGCACCTTGTTGCAGTCTCATAAAAATATATATGATATGAAGCGGTATTCAATTTTTTTTCCTTCCAAATAACACTAGAAGGCTGAACAAGGGTTGGGACAGACTGTTATTTAATACCTTAAAAAGCTTATAATTTATATAACTGTTAAGCTTTTAGCTGATTAAAATCACCAGGTTTAGATGTTTAAAAGCTGAACAAAGGTTAACGTGATCTATGTACAACAATTATTCAAACTAAGGCTGAATTAAAATCAATTGAACAACACTTGTTAAGCATCAAATTGTTACATGGGTAATGTAATAAAATATACAATACAATCGAAGAAATGATCATAAACATGTAGTGAGCTTTAAATTTTTTTTATGGAATACCTTTGGTAATGATCCGTAATGAGAATTTGTAATATTTGTTGATAAGAAAAATTTTACAAAATCACTGATGTAATGATTTACTACAACCGGTCATTTGTTTTTCCATTAGTGGCTGTTCATTAACTACGTAGACAGTTTTTTTTAGGATTATTGAGTTTTTAAATTTGTATGGGCTGTGGTTGATTTCCAACCCCCCCCCCCCTAAGCTGTCTATGTAGTTTATGAACAGCCCCTTAGAAGGCATTTCAAGTTTATGCAGAAGTCCTCTGTTACCAAATGAAAGGGAAGGGAATCATTCGAAAACCGTGATGCGAGTTGCATTGTTTTTCACTTGACGTGAATCTTATACACAGACTCTGGGTGCAGTGATTAATCAACACCGCCAAGCAAATGAGCCAGTCGTATTCTCCAAATAAGGGTTGCCAGATATGAAGACATATTTCCATTTAAACGATACATGACGTTTTGGAAAAAAAAACATTTGATATTCTGTGCAAACATGCGACATGTTTGACCTCCAAATGAACATAACATAAGGTAATACCAATTATTTCACAATCGCTAACTGTGAGTCAGCTGAATTTTTCAAACGCTGTTTTGAACATACATTGAACTGAGTATATGACGTGAATAAATCCCATCAGTCATAGCTAGGAAGCATAATGGTAATGTAATCAAATCAAATAAAATGGAACTAAATTACTTTCATCAAATAAACTTAAACACGCAAAATCAACGTGGGCATCATAATTTCTCCCTTCATTGAAATATACACAACGAAACATACATATACCAAATATGTACGTTAGTAAAACGCTACCATTTTACGGCGTCAACTAATATCTCAATCGCAATAACGTTTTTCCGATTGTCATCAATTATTCCTGGACCTGTTGTTATATGCATATATTTGGTTATAGACACCACGTTACCATTCCTCAGGAAAACTTCGCTACTTTTCTTCTTTGGATTTGTTGCTTCCCTACTGGGACCTTACGTGGACTTTCTAAGCCTGTGTCATTTTTGCAGTAGTATAATGGTGTGGCAAGTAAAATCATAATCCAGTCGCCTCCAGACCATGCTTTATAGCTGCGCCTTTACCGACTGAGCTAAGCGAGCCCCGCTTATCTACGGCAAAAGACTTTCCCCACGAAATTTAACGATGACGATGTACAGTTGTATCGATTAATTACCTCCGCGGTCTAAGTAGGATGTCACTCGCCAAACAAAGGAAGCAAGTGAAACAAAGCCTTCTATTTATACGCAGTCAACCAAAACCAAACCCAACTGCCGACCAAGGACATCCGACCTTTGACCTTTGCTGGCCTGGGGCGGTTTCATAACTACTACTGCCAGCAACATGGCCCAAATGTGACCATTAGCACTCCGGTTTATCCTAATGCTGCTTTTGATAACGCCATGGTGGTTGGTAAAGGTACTATAGTACACCTCCACTGGCACCCTAGATACATAATAATGAAAGTAGATGGAGGGAAAAGCAAACGGCGCCTACTAATTAATGTTGCTAGAGAAGTAAATATTCACCTAAATCGATCAGCACCGACACCTCTTTCAGCGTATTTTCGATTTTGGGATGTTGACTATTTATTTGGGCTCCTTTTTTCGAAGACTTCTACACTTTGACGGTATTTATTACAGTTACCGTAAAGTGAGGTCGAGTTGATCAGTGAGGTGTAGTTCTCATTATTTTTGATCTGATATGATATATTTATGTCAAATGCTGATACTAAAATTATGAGATATTTTAGAGCTCAAGTACACCGCACTGCTCAATCCAGCCCGTTTTACGGTACCAACTCTTCGTCGTACATGTTATCGGCGAATAATGCTTTGTTTTTGCGTTTTTGTTATAATCGGAATCAGAACCATATTGATTGCATGTACTTCTGTTCTGAATTCTTAGTTTTTCGTGTTCATATATTCATATTTTATGAATGAGTAATAAATCCAAACGAATAAACGAAACTTCGAAATATCCATAGGTATACAAACAACACCGTCGGTTTCGAAGTTTTTTTTTTTAAGCTGCACCGACAGGTTTGTTTGAAGTATACCAGTTGGAGCGGGTTACTGCCCGGCAACGGAGAACGAATGAAAGCATTACTTCGGAGACAAATGACATCCACGAGCCTACCGCCAAGCTGCAATCGTCCTTCGGAGGTGCGAGTTAGGGACCTGTCGATAACGAATAATAAAAATAAAGCGAAACACTAACCTACCACTACCTCGTCACTGCTGCATGATGGATCGCGTGGGCCTACACTTTATCTGAGTAAGTACTTCGTCGACGGTTGTTTATTTATCTACATAGCCCATATGAACTAGTGTAATTTGCATCGCTCAACGGTTGAAGTAAACAAATATTCTATCTAGGGTAGAGCGCTACTTCGTCGCAATCGCCTATTTCCGATGTATCGAGTCGAAAATATCAACATCAAGGATTTAACTGTCCATAAATCAATAATACGTTCGATTCGATACTATTGTTCAAAAGCACAAAGCATATAAGAGCGCAAAGAATGAATATTTACACCCATTGTTCTCGAAAACAAAAGAAGCACTCCTTCTGCCTTCATCTGTATGACGAAGAAAATCCAATTGCGTCAATGTGTTTGGACGGAATTGAAACTCATATGACGAATTTGGAATCAAGAAGCAGTGTTAGATCATTAAAAAAATGAAAACAATTTTTGACTCTTTCTCAAATCCAGGGATATTAATTTAGAGATCATCTTTAGTGGCAACGTTTCATTTTTGCGTTCAAATCCGTTCTAAAACCAGAAATAAAGCGCGGGTTGGGTTTAGAAGGACGATAATTAGATCAAAAACCCTACTCGTTCATGAGACGACCTTTCTTTTCCAAAAAAAAAAACAGAAACAGAGGGAAGAACCACATCAAAACGATGATAAGTGCCGTTTCCGTATGCTTCGCGCCAGAAGTAGAATCGTAATAAATATAACATACCTATAAAAGCCACCACCGGCAAAAAAGTGGGATGTTAAGAAAACAGCACACGTGAAAGCCAAGCCCAAGC